AGTGATTTAAAGATATAAAGTATAACATACAAGTAGTAAAAAGTTCATAGAATAATTACAAAAGAAGAAACATTCTGATGAGGCATTAGTGACAGCATTCCAGTGTGGTCTGACAGTTATAAAAGCAGAAAGGCGAGGATATGAAAATTGGAAGAAGCCTTACAGAACAAGTAGTCTAGCCTCTCCTTACACATGTTGAGGAATACAGAAAGAAAGAGATTTGATCACTCTGCATCCCTCCTACCCAGGCTCCCAATGGTCACAACAAGAAACAACAATGAGCAGGAGTAGAGGGGGTAGGATTAGAGTCTTAGAGGTCAGAAGAATCAGGACAGGGAGAGAGCGATCAGTAGCTTCTAACAGACCTAGAGAAGATGAAAGGATGGAGTAGAGAGGATCTGATTTTTTCCTACAAGTGGGAAGTGTGAGAATATGGTGAGATCAGGGAGTAAAGGGACAATTCAAGACCCCCAATACACAGAGATACAACTAAAGGAAGGTCTAACTGTTAATTATACAAGTCCTTTGATGACAGATCAGATTCCTGAGGTCTGAAGAGTGATACATAGCATTCTTCTAAACAGGGCTATGAGATAGAGGCAAGCAATTTGGGGCTACTGAACTTAATGATATCATTTACAGAAAAATATTAGAAAGTTTGCAGAGGGCACAACTTGACAAGCATATGATAATTTGATTAGAAACAGACCACATGTTTTTACTGAAAGATGGTGGACTACTTCTTTGTTGGGACTTCTTTAAAGTTATTGTTTTCTCCATTCTAGATTTTAATTCATATTTTTCTCATATCTATAAAGAATGGGAATAAACATAAAGTATCTAAGCAAATATTACAAAAACCAATCACAATTGAGGACATTAGAAATTCAATGGCAAGAAAAATGAATGTTAAAGACAAATAATATAGCCAAAAAAAATTAATTCACATTGTCTACCAGAGTTTAAGTCAAGATATTTTTTTATGAAAAATATGATTTCACTTTAGTCTGTAAATGTGTCCTCCAGGCCTTCCCTAAAATGTTCTGCAGACAAAAAAAAAAAAAAAAGGAATTTTTGTTTGCTTCACTGAAAGGAAACCTTACCTTTTTAAAAAAAAAAAGTGGATTCTCCATTTGGTGTGGTTAAAAATTTGGCACATTAGCATGAATACTTAATTAACTCAACATCTATAAATTTTCCAAGGTAAACATTCTCAAACAAAAAAAAAGATACCTAGGTGGTTATTTTAAAGTAAGTAATAAGGTCAATATCAATTTTCTTATATTTGCATGATGCTTCCATACTACTGAATATTTATTTAATCTTCAGAGAGATCAGAAAGGATGAAATCAAGATAAAACAAGAATAATAGACAAAAAATGTACTTGAAAAATAACTAAATAAAAATTTAAAAAAAAGATAAAACAAGAATAAAATAATCAAAGTACATACTAGTATTTGCTAATAGCTTTGATTATAATTTGTTACCTACCTTTTATTGGTTAATCTATATGATTCACCAATGGTGCCATTCTAATTTTCAAAAGGTACTAGATTTAAGTAATTGATTTAGACCCCTATATCTACAGTCTGTCTGTACAAGGGCATGGGATGTGTCTATCTTGTTTATACTGTATTCCCTAGAACGTAACACAGTGTTTGGTAAATATTTACTGAATAAATGAATAAATAACAATAACAGCATCAATACTGGGTGTTTTACTGTGTACCAGATACTGTTCTAATAAGCATTTTATATGCCCAATTATTAATATCCAACAACTCTGAAAGAAGTTCTATTACCAAAACCATTTTTAAAGACAAGGAAACAGAAGCACTGAGAAGTTAAGTAACTTGCCTACTAGCTGTGGCTAGTAATTGACACTTTCTTAAGCCCAACCCTACTTTTCTAAGAATAAATGCACAATGCAATGAATCTATGTGTAAATGTATATATGTATAGAAAACTACATATGAGACAGGAGTTTTAAGAGGCATGGAACTTAAATATTGGTAACACCATCACCAAATGCTGCAATTCAGAGGCAATGTGAAATTAAAAGTCTAATTTTCAGTATTAAGCTCTCCACAGTATCAAAAGCTCCTAAACATTCAAAGGAAACTGACTGGTTCGTAAGTAAAGAAGCGAAAAATGTGACTCCATTCAGTTCTGGAGTCCTTAGCTTAAAACGAACACTTTTAAGACCTTTTCATTTTGGTACACAAGCAAGATTTAAGATTTTGTGGCGGCTACATCAACGGGGATAGAAATTATTGGTGTATGTGCAGATACATTCTCTATGGAATCTCCAGTGGCCTCCTCTGTGTTAGTGCTGGCCTATGCTGAGTAAAGGAGACTTTCTTGAGACTAGTCTGAATCTTACTAAAAAAACAAACAAACAAAAAAACAACAACATGAAGCTCTACATGCCTTTAGTCTTCCTTTACAATACTGGTTTTCTGAGACCTGATATGTCCTCATTACTTTTTTTCTTTTCAAATTTTCTTTATATTTTTTAAATCAGTCAATTTTGGAACCATTTGGTGCTAAGAAGATCCATTCAATAGTTTATGCTTTTGCCTTTGGAGTGCCCTATGTTGGGGAATACACATGATTAAAGCTAATCACGAGAACAAGATTTTACAGAATCTGAGGAAGGCTGAAAAGAAGTCTTGGAACTTTCAAGATGAACTTAGACACTGAGTGGGGAAGGATACAATTTGGACATGGATTAATTCCATGTCTATACTACATTAAGTGCTGATAAACTTCAGAGAAGCTTGGTGCTTCTCAGGATTCATGCCCAGTGATTCTCTAGATGTGTTGGCTACTCAGGTCTCCACCTGACTAAAAGCTTATTTCCAAGTCAGTGTTCAATTCCAGTCACCTTTCAACCGGAAGAGGACTACTATCTCCACAGAGGCAAGCGAACAGAAGGACGTAAAGCTGATCCCAGTTTTGTGAAAACTCCTTATTCTGAGGAATGAGGTTAAAAGTTTAATCTCACTATACAAGAAGAGCTTGCCTAATACTCAGTTGAAGTAAACAAAATTAATGCAGCCTAGAAGCTTAGAAAGATGAAATGCAGTTAAACATCCAAACTGAAGTAGTAAAGGGAATCCAGGGTGGGGACTACATCAGTGAACATATAAAGCAAGTACAGAAAATAAGATACCACCAGGTTCAAACAGCGTCAGTGTGAATGAAGGTGCAGAACAGGTATGATAATGACATTTGAATGAACAAAAGAACTAGGGAGGGATGTAGTATCAGGACAGGAAAAGGGGTCGATAGAGCTGGACTTTAAGAGCTGTCTTGTTAGTCCAAGGGTCCTTTTCCTGTTCAGCAAATTCTTTTGTTCTGTGTTCTTATCAATCCCACACCTTGCCTAAGTGAGAATGACAGACGAGCCATTCTTAATGACTTCCTAGCTTTTGAAACTATTTTGGTGTCAGAGAGAGACCATGTTTAAATTGTTATGAGGATTGAGCTTTCTTTTGGCTCAGTATATTTTCCACTCTGATATGACAATTCTTGTTAGCATAGAAACAACTTTGCCTGTTGTGTGATCTGCACAACGTTCCAGAAAAAATGATATCTTGTAGCACCTCTTTAGGACAGGGAAATGACTGCCAGTGGCTAGGGGCCCCAGACAGGCGTTCCTTGCTGTGTCAGCAGGACTGTGCTGGTATCTTCCTCCCACAGAGACAGAGCACATCCTCTCCTTGGCACACCCACTTGCCATTAGCACAGGGAACCATTGTTCCCTTGTGTCAAAGAGCCTGCCACACCCTGAGCCAGGACAATGCTTTGACTCTACAGTCCTAGTCACTAAGCACTGTTTTTTTTCCCCTTTTTTTATTTCCTCCTGTGTGTAAAAGTGCATGAAATGAAGTTTTTCTTTCATCTGAAACAAGGTATTTCAAAGGGTAGTTACTGATGACATTGCACTTTCAAGCTCTCTTCACTGGGGTTTTCCCAATCTCTGCAAGGCTGTACAATACACAGGGATTTGGTTCAAAACACAGGTAAAACAGGTTTGCAGGGTCCTATTTTCACAGTTAACGTGCATGTCATTAACCATCAATTTGAATATCTCTGTCTGAAAATGCCACTTTTTATTATCTTAGGTATACTTAACATGTTGAGTTTTGTCACCATAGTGAGGGTGGACCACATTAAAGTGACAATACCAAGCTATAAATTTTTATAAGTTTAGGAAAGGAGGATGTTATGTTCTAACAAACAAAGGTCAATTTCTTAATACAGAAACCTCTGTATTTAGAAATGCATCCATCTACCCATCAATCAATATTTATTAAGCACTATTGTACATTGTAATAGTCAAAGACATTTTTAAAAAGTTCTTACCCTGAAAGAGTTCACAGTACAGTAAAGGGAAAAACACATGTAAACAAATCAACGTAATAAATTATAATAGATGTTATAATATAATTATATGTAGCACATAATGTAGATAAAAAGGAAGTAGTAGAAATTTCAGTGGTAGTGGGATATTATCTAGAAAAGGAATCAAAGGCAAGATAGTACTTGAGCTGAGTGTTTAAAAAATGTATAGGGAGACCATTACAATTTACATTTGTGTGTGTACGAGTGCATGGGTGAGTTGAGGAGGTAGGCAGCCTTCCAGATCTTGAGATCCTGCAGGTTATGGGGGGCCTTGTAGGTATCTGGGGTCAACAGTTAAAGCAGGGGACTAACATGATGAGATCTTCCATTGGTATGAATCTCCATTTCTGAAATGAACTATTTCCTTGGGTGTGTTTTACCCTTGCTTTCCTTTTTAAAGCATTAGATTTTTGTGGTGAGAATAACATCTCAAATTCAATTCACTGTATTCTGGTTTGGTAAATGCCCACAGAAAGATGCCAGAGAGCCCAATGGAGAGCTTTGAAGGTTGTCTTTGGGTATTCAGTGATAGTATTTTCCCAGACAGCTGCCAAATGTGGCCCCACACTGGGCGGCCAGGAATTCTTACCACTTCAGTTGGTCGGTAGTATTTAAGATCCACAGTCACGTGAACTTTGCCGGTCTCTTTACATCTGCCCACTTCGTTTTCATTTTTTCCTTCCCACCTGTAAAGAAAATACACACTTAATTAGCCTGTAATTGCTTAGAAGCATTTGGCCATGCTGTCCCTCAGGATAGCTCAGCTTTTCCCTGCAGGAATATATGAGCTCATTAACCACAGGAACACAGGATGAAGTTTAACCATGTTATTAGGGGAACAGCGACTTTCAAACCTTTTCCAGATATGTTTAGAAAAGATAGGGCTCCCCCCACCTTTCTTTTTAAGAAAATCATGATAGGCTCAGAATTGAGACTTTAGAAATGAACAGATTATTCAAAATAAGGATTTGGGCAACTTATGGAGAATTTAAATATTTTGCAATTCTTTACATTATTCTTGATAAAATAAATTAATTTGAATTAATTAATTTCTTCTGTCTCCCCCTTCTTTATTTTTTTGTAGTTTTATGGATACTTGTTATAAGTTAAATGCATTCCAGTATACAATAAGCTTCATATCTTAATTAACCATTCATTTAATCCCTGGATTATATATAAATTCCCTTACTCTACCTAGTCAGCACTGGGTCTCATTAACAAAAATCAGATGATTAAATCTCCAAAAAGTTGGTTTCCTTAAAGAGAGGGTATATTAGCATCTTTCTACCTCTTTTGATTCAGCTATGATGTTATTCCTTCCTTAAACATCTATAGTTGAAAATGGTTAAGGCCCCAAATAATGGCCCCTCTAGTCCACAATGCACACTGCACAGGATGAGCTCATGAGCTTCAGGACAACCTTTTCACTGGAATTCCATTCTATGTTACCATTTTTAAAAGAAATAAAGCCAGTGGCTTAATGTTGACATCTGTACTTTCAAAATCTAATAGAATAAACAGAAAATACTATATAATTAAAATTATTTATATAGATGAGCCATTTTGGCAAAGAAAGAAAAAGCATTACAAAGCAATGTTTGACTTCAATGCTATATAGCTAGAAATGAATCTTACGACAACAGGATTTTCTGTGTGTGCCCCTTGGATCAGTCATAATGGGGATTAAAGAAAAGAATGGAGCAATAGACTTCTGGTCAAGTTAGAGGTATAGTTAGACACACTTTGCTTCCTTATAAAACCATAAGAAGAATCACAACTAACAAAACAAAAAACAGTCAGAAAATCAAACTTTCTGGAAGTCTGACAGCCAAGTATTTAAAGAGGCCATATTCATCCAGATGGGTAGAAGAAGGAGAGACAAGGAGCCAGGGTGAAGAGGACATTGTGTGGCACTGGTGAGGTGGCAGCAGTGGCTGGTTCCACATTCACATGTTACAGACAAAAATTGGGAAGAATACCTGAGGAGCAAGTGATTCCAGCCTCAGGCCAGACCATGCAGCCCAGTGTTCCAGCACTGAGAAAATAATGCCTCTTAACTTCTGGCTTTAAAAACCAGTGGGGGTTGTGGTGGTGGAAGAAACTGCCAGTCTCTTGGGAGAGTCTGTTTAAAGGGCCTGCACAGTCCTAGAATGTGTACAAGCTCATCCATTCTTCGAACCAACACCAGGGCAACAGCTAGAAGGGTGCCAGTTGTACACAGGAAGTGGGTAACGTGACTAGAAATGGTTTGAGTGCCCAGCAAGCCTCCAGCAGCCAGGCAGTGGCACTGACCCCTCTCCAACCATTCCCCCACATATAGAGCCACAAATGGGTGAAATGGATTGCCCTGCCTTAGTGAATACTTAAAGCTCTACCCCATACAACTTAACAGGTGCATTAAGACAGGGAATCAAAGCAGCTCTACCTAATACACAGAGAAAAACACAGGGAAGCTGCCAAATTGAGGAGACAAAAAAATATGGCCCAAATGAAAGAGCAGAATACAACTTCAGAAAAAGAACTAAAGAACATGGAGACAAACAATTTATCAGATGCACAATTCAAAACATTGATTATAAGGAACTTAGTGAGGACCTCAACAACATATAAAAGACCCAGGAAGAAATGAAGTATATACTAATGGAAATAAAGAACAATTTGTAAGGAAATAACAGTAGACTGGATGATCCAAGAATCAGAGCAGTGCAATGGAACATAAGAAAACAAAAAAAGAAAATAATAATAAAAAAAAACAAGGATAGTGTAAGGAGCCTTTGGGACCACTTCAAGTGTCCCAACATTTGCATCATAGGGGTGCCAGAAGGAGAAGAGAAAGAGTAAGAAACTGGAAATCTATTTGAAAAAATAATGAAAGAAAACTTCCCTAATTTGATGAAGGAAATAGACATGTAAGTCCAGGAAGCACAGATAATTCCAAATGAAATGGATGCAAACAGGACCACACCAAAACACATCATAATTAAAATGTCACAGGTTAAAGATAAAGAGAGAATCTTAAAAGCAGCAAGAGAAAAGCAGTCAGTTACCTACAAAGGAGTTCCCATAAGACCATCAACTGATTTCTCAAAGGAAGCTTTGTAGGCAAGAAGGGACAGGCAAGAAGTATTCAAAGTGTTGAAAAGCAAGGACTTACAATCAAGAGCAGATAAACTGTTTCCCAGACATAGTGCAGCTACAGGAGTTCATCATCACCAAGTCCTTATTATATGGAATGTTAAAAAGACTTAAGAAAAAGAAGATCAAAACATGAAAAATAAAATGACAATAAACTCACAACTATCAACAACTGAATCTGAAAAGCTAAGCAAACAACTAGAACAGGAACAGAACCATAGATATGGAGATCATTTGGACTCAGCAGGGGTGTCCAACCTGTGGTCCATGGGCCACATGTGGCCCAGGATGGCTATGAATGCAGCCCAACACAAAATCATAGATTTCCTTAACACATTATGAGATTTTTTTTTTGGTTTTCATTAGTGTTTGTATATTTAATGTGTGGACCAAGACAACTCTTCTTCCAGTGTGGTCCAGAGACACCAAAAGTTTGGACCCCCTGAATTTTAGAGGGTTATCAGTGGGGAGGGCACATAGGGAGAATAATGAAAAAGGTACAGGGAATAAGAAGCATAAATAGTAGGTAGAAAATAGATAGGGGGAGGTTAAGAATAGTATAGAAAATGGACCCAAAGCACTTATATGCACAACTATGTACATGAAATAAAGTGGGGGGGAGTTGCTGAAGGGAAGGAGGGTACCAGGTGGAAGGCAGTAAAGGGAGAAAAATTGGGACAATTGTAATAGCATAATTAATAAAGTATACTTTAAAAAAGAATGGATCAATAAATTAGTTACTCAACTATGTGACTCACAGGCACCTAGAAGGAGGTACATATTGGTCATCCTTACATTTTGAACATAGGTTGAGTATTAGACACATAAACTGGCCTCACAGCTTTATCTCTGAGTAATCATCTAAATGTTCTATTCTCAATTCAGCTTGATAGCATAGGGATAATATTTCATCATTGGAGGAATACTGAGTTTATAAGAATGCTAAATTTGCCAATGGACTCAAGGCAAATATGAAAATATCCCATAATACAGAGAGAACTATAGTACAATATGTTGAACAATATAAAACTGTACCAGTGGCATTTTTCCAGGGACTTCATATTAATTGACTCAAAAAGTAATGTTTAATAACTTATTTCTTTGGTTTAATTTCTTAATGTTGACTATACTGATTTGGCAGGATCAGAGCTAATTTTTTGGAAAATTCATCTGGAAATGGTATGTGGATGCTTTAGAGTGTATAGACTAAAGATGCTGTAAAATGGGAAAACTAAAGTAATGATGACAGCTGTACATCTCTTATTGATAAAGACCAAATTTGGACTAATATACATAGTAAGGAAGAATAATTGGTAAAGTCATAATTTTTAAAATTTATCCATTTAATTCTACGGTTAATTGTACAAGTGAAAATTTTTCTTTGGTTAGGCTTTCAGCAAAAAAGAGAATATTTGTATCACATAAGTGTTTTAATTTTGTTTTACATTTCATACTCACAGAGAGAAATGAGTTTAACATATACCTCTAGGGCAGTATCTCCAACTGGGTGATAAAAAGCCAAAAGGGTTTACAAAAATACAGTTTATAATTTTGCTGTTTTCTCAAATTGTAGCTGTAGGTATGTAATCTGTAATGGGTCGTGCTGATTTAGGTACGCACATACTTACAGCACAATCTTTGAGGGTGGCAAACCTGCTTAGATGTCACCAACTTCAGAACTGATGATTCAAATCTACCCATAATTAAATTCTTCTGAAACTATGAATGAACACACATATGTATTTAAGTTGCTAAAGTCTTGGGAAAAACTCGGAGAACTTTCCATGACTGGAGAAGGAACATGTGGACAGGAAAGGGATGAGGCTAACCCAGTGGTGTGTAGACCACAGGCTAGCAAACTATTTCTGTAAAGAGTCAACGGTAAATATTTTAGGCTTTATAGATCGCATACATACAGCATCTGTAACATTTTCTTCCTCCTCTGCTTTCTATTCTTCCTTATTTTCTCTCTTCTTCATTGTCATTTTTGTTTAAACCACCCATTACAACTGTGTCCTTTGAGGTCAGTAAAAATCAGGCCTCTGGTGGGGTTTGGCCTAGATGCCATAGGTTGCCCACCCTACTTTAAAAGATGAGTTAATGATATAGCCTCACCATCAACTAAAGAATAGCATTTAATCCCTTTTCATACCAACAGCTTGCATTGTTGAACCAGCCTGAATTTTCCTCTCTACTACTGAGTCTTTTTGCTATGTTCTGAAATTTTAACAGTAGCTGAAATGGAAATTTGAAATTTTAACAGTAGCTGAAATGGAAAAAGACTGAAGGAAGGAATCTGCAAGTTGACTTAAGTTTGATGCTACTTAGACACTTGCGGGTATGAGTTCCCTGCACATAGGCCTTCTTTGTCTCTGTCTGAATACTGTCTGCTGGGCTGCCATTTTGCTAAGGCTGTCTACAGTCCAAACCATCTCTAAGGACATGATATTACTCCTACAATAAATATAGCTGCTCTGAGTAATCAACTATAACCAGGAAATGGCTCAAAGCAGAAACAAGTTGGCAAAAAACACTCTAATTTGCACTGGAT